TTGAGAGGCCTATTATCCAAATGGTGTGACAGAGAGAAGCAAAGGGGAACTGCCCTATCATGTCAGTGTTGAGTGGTGATTGCATCTTATGGACCAGAAGGACTATCTGGCTATGAAGGAGATGCCCACAGACAGGAATACATGTGGGAGCCTCCATCGTCCACCCATCGGTACATTCATGACTCAAAAGCCTCCTTTGCATTTTCATGGCATCACCCCACCCCACCCTCAGTGCACCCTCATTCTGCCTCTGGTTCCCCTCAACTGTGTCTTTCTTTCCTCTTCTTCATGTGGGTGGATGGAGAGCTCTGAAGAAGGTAGAGTCAAGGTTTAGAAGACCATTAAACTATCTAGACATCTCTAATGATGAACTTATTAAAATGTTCCTACCACATGGAATTACAAACGGAGGCATCAAGACTTGTAAAAATAAAGCCAGGTAGAGTTCAGCTAAAGAAATAAGGAAGGCATGACTTCAGGTGGCTGCTTGCTGCCTGGCAAATTATCCTCTAAGCCAGCCAAACAGAGTGTGATTCGCATGCTTAGTGCCCACGTGGGATCCCAGATAGGATCCCAGATGTGCCCTGCACAAGTCCGGTGAGAGAGCATGTGGAAGGTTAAACCACCCAGCCTCTATTCACCAAACCTGGATGTGATGCGGAGCTGCTTCAGCCCAGGGGAAGGCGCCTCTTTTGCCTTACTTGTCCGGCCAGAAAAGGTGATTTTCTGAACCCTTCACCTAGGAAGAACCCCTTTTTGTAATCTGATCAAAGCCACTGTGGAGGCTGGCAGCCCTGTTGCATGCAAATGACTAGACCCAGTCCATCTTTTTACCATACCACCCAGAGTAGCAGAGCATGGGGAAGAAAGGAACGAGATCCACACCGCAGCTTGGCTGGTCCCACCTGGAAGGCTTTGCAGGTCTGAAACTTCTCACCTAAAGCCTGCAGCTTATGCTACTGAGGATCTGCAGTGAGAGCCTCTGCATGCTTTCTCCCAGGTATCCTGGTTCTAAGAAGCATCAGGAAGAAGGAAAGAAAGAGCAGAGGGGATTCCTTATCTCTGTCTTGGGCCTCTACCTCATGCTTACATATCAATATTCTTTCTAGCTTTCACAGCCTGTGCTGATCTCAAGACCCCAAGTTTCACAGAACTATTTTTATTATGATGGAGGCCAGTTCTTTCTAAAAAAAAAAAAAAAAAAAACCCTCAAATCTCCTTGCAGTAACTCAGCTGGCAGTCACCCAGCTGGACTCCACCAAGCTCACAGATTTCTACCAACGACTGAAATTGATGGGCCCTCTGAGACTGCCAAAGGACCATGGAGGAGCTTCATTCATTAGACAGTGTTAACTGAGCACCTGATCTGTGCCAGGCAGATAGGGGCCTGGCTACTGCCCTCAACAGGCTCCCCATCCAGGTGGAGCAATTAAAGCAACTACAGCACTGAGGAGCAGTGCTGGTGACACACAAATGGCACTCATTCTTGAGTGAGTGAATGGATGAAAGAATGAATGAATGAATGAATGAAGTACAGTGTACGCTGCTATCCTGGTCTGGGGGATCAGAGAAGGCTTTCTAGAGGAGGTGAGATAAAACCTAGAGGATGAACAAATTTAATAATTTTTTCAGTGAGGGAGAAAGGAAGTGTTCTGTGCAAAGGAAATAGCATGTACAAATAAACTGGGTTTCAGAGAGCAAGATAGGGTGGCAGAACCAAGAAAACTCAAATTGGTCTACTTAGATCGTGGCAGCTAATACGGAAGTGTGTGGAAGAGATGAGATTTGTGAAGTCTGCAGGGCTGGTTTATAAAGTAATCAGAGCTGGGTTGCAAAGGACATTGTAATCCATGTCAAAAGAGTTTAGATGCATGCAAACAAATGGGACTTTTACACAAGGAGAGGTTGGTATTTTCTCACAACACGGTCAACCTAATGAGAATGTTTCAGTAATATCTTTATTTCTGTTTTCTGGTAATGAAGTAAAAGTATGATGCCTGTGGAATTCTCAGTTCTAACCATACAAATCCTAGCCAGGTGGAGAGTCTGAAAATATTCCTGTGAGTTCAGGATGTGGGGCTAAGAATGTGAACAAGGCAAGGTTCCCTTCATCCACCAACCTGGAAGGACATCAAGCTTAAAATCCTTACTCATGAGGTCCCATAATACATGGGGAAAAATGCTTTGAAAATAGACATCAAAACTGAGGACAAGTAATTGGGATAGAAAAAAAGCCACCTGGATACCCCCAGGTAACAAGCTACAAGACACTGGAAACCACTGCACCCACAGACCTCTGCCCTTGAATTAGCTTCCAGCCTAGTTCCCTTGAAGATGGGCTTGCCTGATTCACTTATAATATACTGGCCCCCACACATTCAGCATTTCTGGCACAGAGATTCCTTGAGCCCATCCCTGGATCAAGGCCCAGCCTGAAAGCTCAGGCCCCATGGTCTAGCTTCCTAGCACAATACTTCCTCGTTCATGGCAGAAGCAGTGGTGGGGAAGACACACATGTTATCATTGAACATGGCTGGCAGACACGTCATCCCATCTGCAAACCAGAAGGCAAATAGGAGCTGAGAAGGAACAGGATCTATATGTTATTTTAAAACAAATCCCACTGTAGAAAACTCCACCTGGGCTAACTTAATTTTGAGGTCTTACATCTAAGGCAAAGCTAGCCTGATCACCGAGAAGGTAAAACAGCCGCTACGTTGGATTGAATTTGGTAAATTGGACCATCACCTTGCCTGTGCCCAAAGCCTCCTGGGAGAATCTGTAAAAGAAACCCCACCCTCCAACCCTGCACCAGGAGTTGACATCCTGGAGTTATCTCTGTTATTCCCAAAGTTCCAGTACCCCTGTATCTCACCCTTGTGACTAATTGCTGGGAAGCAGAAATGGTATAGAAAAGCCTAGCAGTCCCACTTCTTTTGGCCCAAGGAGTATGGGATGGGGGGGGTGTAGGCTCTCGGTGGTGAGGCTTTAATATGTGTGGGGCCTAGAACCAGACTACAGAAGAAGGTCTACTATTCTACAGTCTAAACGTGCATAAATCAAGGCAGTAACCATTGAGAGAATATATCCTCCCATCTTGCCAAAATCTTCAAAATGACCTCAAAATCAGCTTTGAATTCAGAATCTTGGGTCTTTCACAGAACCAGACCATGAAGTGGCAGTATGAGCAGAACCTGCCCAAAGTCTGGGCTCCTCCCTTCTGTTTCCCCCTGCTAGCACTGTGCTGGGCCCCACACACATGTACAAAGGCACCTCAGCCTGATCATCGGAGTTCTATCCCGATAGCCACCCTTGTGCTAGGAGTATGCACCCTTGAAGCATGGTCCACCCAAGAGAAAATAAACCTATAGATGAGACATATAAAGACTTCAGAAGGGAGCTCAGGGACCATTTAAATAGAGACTCCTGGGGTCTCAAGTACCCATGGAGTGGTTGGGTTGGGGGAGTGTTTCACCACCGGGTGCCTCTTGGCCCCATAGATTCCTTGTCCCAGGAATGATGGTTATCACTAGGGAATCTCCCTCTTGCCCACAGCTGAGGATGGTACTGTTGTCAGGAGCCAGAACCAGATTCACTGTGTCATCCCAGCCATGACACTGATCTGAACGTTAAAGGAAACCATCCATTGTGCTTCCTGAACTGCAGTTGCCTTCCCAATGATGACTGTCCATCACCTCCTTTACTCCATCATCTGTCCTAGATCAATGCAAAACAGGGTCCTAGAGGCCACGCTTCATCCCCAGTTGTGCCAAAATCAAATCCCCAAGCCCCTTCCAAAGCAGTCAGTTGCAAAGCAATGATTGAACCCTTGAGGTCCACATCCAAGTCCCTGCAATGCTCTAGCCCCATTTGCATACATAGCGAGGGTTTCCTGATCCACCTGGGGCATGAAGGGATTGACTAGGTTGAACTACATCCCCTGAAGGAGAAAACCCAACAGAATGGATGCCCCTCCTATCAAGAACGCTAAAAAAACAAACCCCAAACTCAAAGTTCAGGGCCCAGTGTGAGGGTGTGCAGAAAGGTGTGTGTTTTTTCTTGTCATTTGCGACTCTGATGATGGACTCACGTTGCCCGCTCTTCCCTTTCTCTTACACCTTACCTACTAAAGGAGGAGTTCTTGCTTGGTAAGTGGATATAATCCGCAAAGACATGAGAGAATTTATTAGAAGCCACTCCAGATCCTTAGCTACCTTCTACAAGGGGAAAAGGACACACACAAATACCTGTAGAGACCTTTTTTTATTTGTTTGTTTTCAGTCAGACTATTTGACTTCCATTTATTTTGCCCCTCTCCTTTCTTTTCCCCTTCAGTTGAAAACTGCTTTAATGTCAATTTGCGACCATGACTTTATATTTTTAAAAACACACACACATACACACACACACACACCCCCAAAACTTTCATCTTTATTTCATTTCTTTTCCCCATGTGACATTTATTCAGGGTTCTATTCAGGCAACTTTTTCTTTTTTTTGAAAAAAAAAAAAAGTTACATTAATTGAGGTTTCGGTTGAAGTTTAAAATTTTGGCTTTGACTCCTTTTTTTTTTTAATTTCCAAGATATATTTTTTTCAGGCCCATAGCCCCATTTATTTTCCCTCTTCCCCTTCCTTTATTTTTATTATTGTTTTAGATTAGGGGTGTCTATACCCCTTTCTATTGAGTTGTCTCTTTTGTTGGAGTTAATTCATTAGAAATTAAATTTTGTATAATTTCCTTTTGCTTTTGTTTACTCTGGATCGCATGCTTTTTCTCTGCATGATACCTAAATCTTCCAGTTATCCCAGCAGGGGGTAAAAAAATATCTCCTTTCTGTGGTATTCTTTCAGGAATTTGTGCTTTTGTTTTTTGGCGTCTCTTCTCTCTTCTCCTCTCTTTCCTTTCGTTACAGTGCATCATGACGGTAAACATTCTCAGTTATTTAGACACGGCGCCCCAGAGCTCAGCAGTGTCCGACGGGTCTTTTTGCTTTCAGATCACTGGGTCGGGGTCTGCCGCTGACCTCTTTACCAAAACAGCCAGTCCGCTCACCACCTCCCGAGGACGCTCCCAGGAGTATGACTCAGGCAATGATACCTCCTCGCCGCCCTCCACGCAAACCAGCTCTGCCAGGTCTCGGGGCCCGGAGAAGGGGAGCCCCACTGAGGGTCTCAGCAAAAGCCAGGATCTCAACAGCGGCAACACCTCGGATTCAGGGAATTCCTTCACCACCTCCTCACCCCAGAACAAAGGGGCCATTCTGGAGAATCTCTCTCCCCCCAGCAGGGGCAGAGAGTCAAGGTCAGTGCCCTCGCGGGTAGGTAGAGGGTCTTCGCTTTATCTACTCAGGCTTTCATCCCCATCTCGTGAGTCTTATTTTCAAGGAAGAGAAAACTCAACTCAAACTGACTTTTCTTTTTTAATTCCAGGGACACTAGCTTCAGGGACAGCGGGATCGAGGGGCTCAAAATATGTCAAAGGGAATCTGTCCTGTTACATCTCTCAGTTCTACTTCTCCACTCTGTTGGTCTCATTCTTAAGTAGACAAGCAGCTGACATTCTGTCAGTTTAGCTCTCCACTAGCATTCTTTTTTTCCTAAAACTTACTGCACGACATCAGGGCAAGTGGTAATTGGCTGCACTTGGCCCACCTTAGGACATTTGTCCAGCTCTGGACCAAGCACTCTAGCCTAGGGATTGCTGTGCTCTTGACTGGAATGTGTTACATTCCACAACTGGGACTAACAAGTACACCCTTCCCACATTCATCTGCAGGAAGAGCTAAGGTGTTGATATCAGGAGGACAGAAGCTATGCAGACAAAAGTGAATGCCAGTTTTATCAATAATCTCAAAGAAAATCTAGCATAACTTAATTTTAAGTCATGGTCATTTGAAACATACCATAGTATTATATGAATATTAGTGAATTGAAAACATACCACACAAAAACCTTCACATGGATCTTTACAGAAGCTTTATGCATAATTGCCAAAACTTGGAAGCAACCAAGATGTGCTTCAGTAGGTAAATGGATAAACTGGTATATCCAGACAATGGAATATCATTCATAGACAAAAGAATAGTTTCATCAAGCCAAAGAAAGACACGAAGGGACCTTAAATGCATATTGGTAAGTGAAAGAAGCCAATGTGAGTAGGCTTAAACATAGCATATGACTCCAACTATATGACCTTCTGGAAAATGCAAAACTATGGAGAAAGTGAAAAGATTAGTAGTTGCCAGGGGATGAGGGAGGGAGGGATGAACAGGAAAGGCACAGAGGATTTTTAAGGCACTGAAATTATTCTGTATGATCGACAATGATGGATAAATACCATTACACAGTTCTCTAAACCCACAGAATGTACCCCACCAAGAATGAAACCTAATGTAAACTATAAGCTTTGGGGGGGATAAGAGGTGTCAAAGTAGGTTCATTGATCATAACAAATACACTAGTGGGGGGCTGATAGTCAGAGATGCAGCTGTACATGTGTGGAGGCAGGGATCACATGTATTCCCTATACTTTCCATTCAATTATGCCATGATACTAAAGGTCCTCTAAAATAAAGTTCACTAGTTATTGGATGGATGGATGGATCGATAAATGATAGATAGATAAACAGATAGATAAATCACAGTGTGATTTTAGGGAAAGGCTTTTTTTGTTCATCTCAAAAGTTAGTAGATGCAGCCTTTCTATAGAAAGCACTCCCAAATATTTGCTTATAAGCCTATTTACAGTTCCTCTGCTTTATCACCCTTTTGCTCTCTCTCACTCAAGAAATCACAAGAAAATGCTAATCACTGAAGGTACTGTCAAAATAATGGCTCTTAAAATGTACTGACCACATAGTCTGCACCTTCATTCCGTTATTTATCCCTCAACCTGCTACCAGGCACCTCCTCTATGTCAGGCGCTCAGCTTGGTTTGCTGATCTAAAATTGGCATGGTCCATTTCCTCTGGAGTGTTTATATTCACAGGGTAGATGCACAGATGCAGAGGGTTGGGAGCTTGGCCAGTGTTCTCTACCACGCAAACAGTAGGCTCTTCCTCTCTCTGGGTTGGGAGTCTGTCTTTGTTTAAAATGGCCAAGATTTCTAAAAGGTGGCCAGAGCCTCAGCACTGAAGCAGTTAAGAGTTTCTTCAAGGACAGAGAACCCTTGGTCCCCAACACATAGCCTGCTTCAGTCCTGGGTAAACAGCTTGGCATCCACATGTAGATGTGGCCTCTGGTTGGGCTTTTCCGGGACATCCCTGGCCTCAGCTCATACCCAAGCTTGGCTGGGAACCAGAGCTGGGTCAGAGCAAATGCCAATGTCTCCAAGAACAGACAGTGAAGTTCCCAGAGGGGAGATGGAGAACATGTGTGTGCTGACACACTGCAGGATATTATGCAGGGAAAACTAAGGACAGCAATAATAACAGTAAAAATAATGGCAGTCAACTTTCAGTGAGCTCTAAGCACAAGCTAGGTACTATGCAAAATACTTGCCATGCACAGTCTTTTTAATTCCTCCTAAAACCTTTAGGAAATAGGTACTATTAGAAGCTTTTTTAAAACATGGGAGAAACTGAGGCTCAGAGTGGCTGAAAAACTCAGTCACTAAGTGGCAGCATCAGCATTCAAATACAAATCTGTCCCCAAAACAAAATGTTACCTGCTTAATTTAACATATGCAGATAGCCAAATTAAATAATTTAGACCTAGCTTCTCATTTTGAGATATAAATGATGGTTAAATCCACAGCTATTTATGTCATGCCAGCTGTGGGCAAAGGTCTCAGTAAATATGACCTGAGTGGAAGATGCATCAGCTCTAAATCAAGGCAACCATGGACACTAAAGGTAGGGAACTGAAGAGGTGGCAGAGACATGGGCATTGGAGATGAGCAGGTCAGTGTTTGGGACTTTGGATGACCTTGATCAAGTACTTAACCCTTCTGAGTCTTCTCTGTAAATTGGAGATAATAATAGGTTCAGCTTCATAAGGTTGCTGGGAAGACTAAATGAAACAATGCTCGCGAAGTCCCTGTCCTTTGAGTGATTCTGGAAGTCTCCATCCACCTTTCTGGGCAGTGTCAATTCCTCCATCTGCAAAATGGGCTACACCCAAGTTTCCCAGACTTAAATCAACAACAGGTCACCTTCTTGATTTTTAACATATCTATGTACTAATGTATTTCTTTTAATAAACTCACTTTTTCTGTAAGTTAACTGAAAGAAAACTTAGTGTTATCTGAAACAGAAAATTACCATCCCTTGCCCTAAAGAGAAGGCACCTGTAAATATATATTTTTATATGTAAAACAAATATTAAAATGTATATTTAAATTAATAAATAATAATAACTATTGAAATATATATATATATATATATCTCATAGGTAGTTAGCTACTCTGGGACCTGCTCTTCTCTCTGAGAAATTACAGAGTTAGAGTGTTAGGACTCATCTGCACCTAGCCAGGGCTTGCTCATTAATGTAATCAGAAGGATTAACAAAGTCAAGAAGAGGACTAAATCTCAACACTGATCTGACATTATTTAGCATAATGCCCACTCCCAGGGACCTCCTAGAGTACTCTGCAGTGGCACCTGTGATACGTGTGCTGAACTACAGCATCCATCTACCTGTAGAGTCTCCTCTTGCTCTGTTCCTCTAATACCTATCTCATGGCAAATCTTCCCAGGGCAGGAAAAGGTGGAAAGAGGTTTCTGGGAGAACAGGATAGCCTAGGCAAGAGTGGAGAGGTAATGATTAGATCAAGATGTGCCCAGAGTGGTGGCCAGCTGAGTAGTAACAGACCTTCCTCCTCCTGCAGAGGATTTCAGTCACCATGTCTGGAGTGTGCTGAGGTGAAGAAGTCCAGTTTGGTCCCATCCACAGCCCAAAGCTCCCCTATGAAAGAGTGCTCCCGCAGCTCCTCCTATGCCAGTACCCGATCCTCCAGCTGTTCCTCCAGGTCCCCAAACCCCAGCACCTCTCCCAGGTACACTCGGAGTCGATCCACCTCCTCTGAAAAAAGGTGAGTACATAAAGGGGAAGGGGAAGTGGGAGGGGTAAGGGAAAGGAAAGAAGGGAGTGAAACTAATATGAGAAAAGGAAAAAATGGAAACAAACTCTTTGTAAATAGGGAAGGGTTGAGGGGGTGAAGGGAGGGCAGGGGGATGGGGGTAAAAAAGAACCAAGATATATTTATTATGTAAAGGTGAAAATTTCCAATGATGAATGTCATTATATTGTATACCTAAAATGTACCAATAAAATTAATAATAATTTAAAAAGGTGAGTGCAGTTTGACCTTTGCCCTGCTGAATTCTCTCCTTGGCCCGAGTTAAGGCACCTGGAGATGTCCTTTGATGGATGCATAAAGGAGAAGACTCAGGTTGACTTGAGTTTGAAGGCCTGTTTTACCCAACCCATACCTGATGGCCTTGGGAAAAGTCAGTGTATCTCTGCTTTCCTACCCACAAAATGAAACAATGGATCATTCTGAGGACTACAAAGCGCTTAGAGCTGTGCTTGGAACATAATGAATTTTAGTTATTTTTGTAGCTACTGGCCTCAGAATAAATTAGCTTCTGCTGCAGAAAAAGTTAGTTAGTCCTAAACTTAGCATCCTTAAAACAAAGTGTTTATTTAGTCCCTAAATCTGTGGAACAAGCAATTCCAGCTTGGCTCCACTGGCCAGTTCTGCTCTTGCTGGGCCCTGTCCTGGGTCTTTGATCTGCTGGTAGATTAGCTGGAGTCTGGCTGGATTGAATGACCCCAAAGCAGTCATCTCTGCTCAATGATGCCGTCATCCTACAGGCCTATCTGCTTGTTTACGTAATGATGGGAGAGTCTGTAAAGCATTCTTTAGTCCTGGGATTAGAAGTGACTTGACGTCCCTTCTGCTGTTCTGTTGGTCATAGCAAGTCACTAGACCAGCCGAGATGCAAGGATGTTCCTCTTAGTGGGAACAGCTGCAGATTCACACTACAAGAGTTAGGGTACAGGGGGAAGAATAATTGTGGCTGGTTTTGCATCCTATACTCTCCCTCCTAATTTCAATAACCATTGGTAATTGCTTGATGATCTCATGTGGATAAAGATGTAGGAGAATGTACAGGTATGAGATCTCAGGCATTAGAGAATTAGAAGATTTCACCCAATCTAATGAACCCATGGCTTCCCTGGACTCCATGCAAACAAGAAATTCCCAGCAGCGGGCTGACTACTCCTTTTCTGCAACCATATAGTCAAAAAACAGACAAACACACACACACAAACCCAGATGCTCACTTAATTGGTTATTTCAAGACTGTCCATTCCAGAAAAATGAAGCAATGTAGCTGACAACAATATTCAACATTATAGCATTATGACATCAGTAGGACAGCAGATTAGGCTAAAAGGAAAGTTAAGGACAGAAATAAAAAATTACTTCAGGAGAAAAGGCCCCAAAGTCATGTCCTTTACTACATAGTTGGTATGGAGGCGAGCTGCAAACATGACCTCTGAGCTCCCTAGCAGACAACGCAAGGACAGAAATTGCTCCCTTGTTACAGGATTAACCAAGAAAATGAATTGAACCAATTGCTTGGGAAAGCAGTTATTTCTGATTTTAAGTTTATAAAAACAACTCACATAGATCCACAGAAAAGGGACACTATATGGTATAGTCAGTGGATGGAAATGCCTGACCATATCTTTCCCAGATATCTAAAAACACGTTGCATCCTGACTTTCTTATAATATTCTTCAATTCACAAAGAGCAAGTTAGCAAAAGCAACTTTTCCAGGAGTCACAGCTGGACATTGCCCTAGGACACTGAGATTGAATGGGCTGTTTTCTCTACATTGTTATCTAAATGAGGGAGGCACTAGCAGAGAGGAAAGCAAACTGAGAGGAGCAGAGGAGTGAGTGGTTTAGAGTAGCCCCCAACACACACACCTTGTCCTCAGACTGGGTTCCAATACTCCAGTGGATGCCTACAACCAATATCCAAGCCCTGTAATGAATTTTTTTTTCCATCTTAACTAAGTACTGATCACACTGTGAGGGTAACTCTTGCATCTCAGATGTGCCAGCAAACTAGCAGAAATTGTTTTTTCTGTAATTTCACAGAGAGAAGAAGATTCAGTATTAACCATAGATCTTAGCATACTGGGCATATTTTCTCCTTTCTTAGCAAGCCAAGAGCACTCACTTTCTCACTTAAAGAAGGCATACTGTGGTTCCTCACTGGCATATCTGAACTGCCCCACCATTAGGGAGTTCATCATGCCACTCAGAACACAGCATGCAATTTAAAATGGATGCATTATTTCTGGAATTTTCCACTTAACATTTTTGGGCCATGGCTTAACTTGTGTAACTGAAATCACAGAAAGCAACAACCACAGATAATGGAGGACTACTGTACGTTGGAGAAACAGACCTGGCTTCATATCCTCTACCAGCTGTGTGAACCTCAGCAAATACATTACCTCTCTGTGCCTCTGTTTCCCCATCTCTAAAGTGGAATCTATAATAGTACCTAATCTTAGGATGTGTTAAGAGTTAAATGAGATATACATGAAGCATTAGTTCCGTGTCTGGCACACAGTAAAATGCATAATAGAAATAGCCAACATTTCTCCTGTGCTGGCTAATTGTCCCTTAGCATATGCGCCAATATGCTAAGTGATTTACGACTTTTTAGGGTAAATACTATTATTATTATTCCCATTTTACAGAAGAGAAAACAGAAGCCCAGAGAAGTGAAATCACCTGCCCAAGGTCACACAGCTAATAAATAGCCAGGTTAGCAAGCACTCAAAAAGAAGTTGTCCATACTGTTACGCCCCCAAAGGGGAGGGGATTTCATTCTCCCCGGTAAGGGCCAGGTTTCTGTTCCGCTGGACCTCCAGAGAGAAAAAGGTCGTCATCTGCGAGCCAGATGAATGAAACTTTACCTCTTTCCCAGGTCCTACTCCCGCTCTCCCAGCTACTCCTCCAAGTCTGGCAAGAGGAGCCCTCCTAGCAGAAGCTCTCGGTCCCGCCGCAGCCCCAGCTACTCCCGCTACAGCCCCAGCAGGTACCGGCCCCGCCCCGGCTCTGGCCCCGCCCCAAGCCACACCCCTTTGCCAGAGGTTCTGGCCCTGTCCCAGGCCCACTTCTCTTGAGCCCTGCCAGCCCAGCCCTGCAGAGAAGTGGAGCTGATTCAGCCTCCTTACAGTTCTTTGTCCAATCCAGTGTGGCAACAAGGGCCCAACTACATATCTTGTGTCCTAAAGCCCACCCCCAGCACTCTCATAACCCCTTTCTCCTCACCACTCGTCCTAGTATTCAGAGCCCTCAATTCTCACCACACACGTGGAGGCGCTAGTGACATCCTCACCCCTGCAGCGTCTGCCCCTCTATAAAGCCCACGCACGAAGGCTGACGCCCCTAAGCACTACCAGCCCCCCCCACACACACGCACGCACGCACGCACGGTGGTCATCCACAGGGACTCCGCCCACAACCGGGTCATCTTCCTGTGCCCACCTCCCTGAGGCTCCTGCAGACCCTTGCCACAGTGGTGCAAAGGGGACAGATGCAGGGAGGAAGTGGAACAACTTACACGGAAAAGCTGCCCCAGCCCCAGCTTCCCAATAACACTCTCCCAACCCTCCAGAGAGCGGGACCCCAAGTACAGCGAGGACTCCCAGCAAAGGGAGCGCGAGCGAGCGCGCCGGAGACGTCGGTCCTACTCCCCTATGAGGAAGCGCCGGAGAGACTCCCCGAGCCACCTGGAGGCCCGGAGGATAACAAGGTGAGGCCCACAGAGCAAAGGCTTCCCACTTTCACGCTCGTTCCCACCCCATTCCTACCCGGGGCTCAGTCTCCCCATGCCTCCTTGAGGCTGGGACTGAGGATTGTGGGAGCTCAGGGGGGCACCTCTCCCAAAACCTGAAGTGAGGCTTTGCTTCAAAGACTTGGAACCTGAGTCATTTCTTGGGTCCAAACTTCCGTACCTGTAGGGAGCGGGGCGGGGCCTAGAGCGGTGTGGACCCGACCTCTGGGAAAGGGTTGGGTCCAGCCTGGGGGAATAGGGTGTGGCCTGGGGTGGGAAGGGTAAGAGGTCTTACCAGCCTATGGGGGGCGCCATGGAGCAGGGCGCTGCCCCGGTAGACAACGTCCTACCTTTAGACCTATGCAGCCGGATGCCAAGTTTAAATAGACCTGTGTGTAATTATACCCTGAAAGGAACCTTGGTAGGTAATGGGGAGAGCGCTGGATTTGAAGTCAGATTCTGGTTGTGCAGCTTCCTAGGTGACCTAAAAAGTCTCTTCACTTTCCTGAGGCTGTTTCCTCACCCATGAAATATTGGAGGAAATAATTCCCAGGAGTATCATGAGATGAAACGAAAGGAAGCAAAGAGATGTGACCGCACTTTGTAAACTTAAATGCAGAACACACTGGGTGCCATTGTTATTGACTGAATGGTCCGAATAGGTGGATAAGGTTACCTGTCACAGGTAAGGCCTCAGAGGAGAAAAGCTGGGGCAGAGAAGCCCAAGGTCTGAGGAGAAACTAATTTCTCAGTCCTTGTAAGCTGGGAGAATGGCTGAATACTGTTCTAAAATTGGGCTGGCCTTTCAAGCATCACCCATCCACTCAATCAGAGACCCATGGAGAGCAGGAAGCCTGACCGGGCGGCATTTCCTCCCTGGAGAGGAGAAAGGGGCGGTGCCTGGCAGGAAGACCAGGGCGATCCAGTTCCTTTCTCCAATATTCCACAGGGCTCCCTGTCTTATCTGTGGTCCCTTGATTAAAGATGTCCTTTGTAACCAAAAGGGTAAAATGGATCTTAGCTCAGTGGTTCCACCACCTGCCTTGCAAGCACAAGGACCCGAGTTTGATCCCCAGTACCAAAAAAAAAAAAAAAAAAAAAAGATTAGTGTTTTTTTCTCAAAGATAAACTGTTTCTCCAAGCTTCCTCGCACTGAGAGTGTAAACCGCCACCTCCTAGGCCTGACACTCAGGAGGATTCAATACTTTTCTCCTCCTCCAGGCCAAAGCCTGGCTAAATCTCCCCATGGGTATTTCCTGGCTTTTGTTCTGCCTGGTACTTTTGTGCATTCCAGTTTGGTTGAATTGTAAATAAACTCATTTTCCCCCCATGTTCATGGGCTTTTCTCAGACTTTTGGTTGCAGATGGGTGAAAGAACCCAAAATCCCAAAGAGACACAGCTTGGATTCAGACCTGATCCAGCCCCAGCTGGCAACACTTGGGTCAACTTGGAAGAAGGCTGAGATGGAGACAGTGCCATTTCCAAAAGGCCTTCCATCATGGACCCCAAATAATGCACCTCAGTTAACCCATTCAGTGTTTCCCAAACTTGGGTCATCTGTCAGCAGCTTTACCCCTTTTTCCTTGCTTGCTTATAACGTACTATTGATTTAATTTTCTTTCAATGGTTGTACAGTATACCCCTTTCAGAAAACTTCATACACTACAGTAAATGGAAAATCAGCTCTTACCTAGAAATAGAACCTACTAGAAATAGAAAGTTCTAGTAAAAGCAAAAATAGTGAAACCAAAATTATAATTAATGTTTAGATGTACGTTCTGTTGCCAGCTGGAGGCTCTGAGTCCCGGGCTTGCTTTGTTAAAATATTTTTTAAAAAGAAAAGAAAAAAGGGTGAGATCACTTTTCAAGACATACCGGCACTAAACTGAGACTTTTCTCTTTGATGTTCTCAGAACGGCAAGAGAAGTGAAAAGGAAGGGATGGGGTTGGTTTGTTTGTTTCCCTAAGGGGCTGGGGAATGAAAGGATATTGTTTTCCCTGGGAACTCGGAGGAGCCCAGCCCTCACGCGTCCTTCCTCGGGTCTCCGGTCTCCCGCAGTGCCCGGAAACGCCCCATCCCGTACTACCGGCCCAGCCCCTCTTCGTCCAGCAGCCTCAGCAGCGCCTCCTCCTGGTACAGCAGTAGCAGCAGCCGCTCCGCCAGCCGCAGCTATTCCAGGACCCGCAGTCAGAGCCGCACCCGGAGCCGGAGCCGGAGCCGGAGCAGGAGCAGGACCCGCAGTAGCAGCAGCTCCAGCTCCCGCAGCCCCAGCCTGGGCTCCCGGAGCCGGAGTCGGAGCCGGAGTCGGAGCCGGAGCCGGAGCCGGAGCTACAGCTCAGCAGACAGCTACTCAAGTACGAGGCGCTAAGCAAAGCCCGTCCCTTGAGCCAGACACTCATGGGGACCCTTTTGCTCTTCCAGCCTCTCCTAAACCTACCCTCCCTCCCTTCTCTCTGGTGATAGATACCGGGGCTCCTGGCCCCTGTCCTGCCTGCTTTCCTGGGGAGGAGGAAAAGGGGTCTTCATCCCCTTGTGTCAAGTTGCTAAGAGCCTCGACCAGCACCACTCTGGGGCTTAGCTGAGGCCTGGGTAAATGGAAAGAACCTTTCGTTTGTTTGTTTGCATAAAAAACCTCACAGTTTTATGAGAAGCAGTGGGTCCGTGGCTCAAAAGCTTTGGACCTGGCTAGCAACGTGTGGAGACAACTCTGCTCACTCACTTCGGGCAGGACATGTACAGAAGGACAAGGGTGATTCATCTACCTGGCCTCGTTCTTATTCTTCCTGTCACCCACTCTCATAGCTGCAAGTGTGTGGACCCCCATCCAGGAATAGGTGAGAGTGGACACCAAGGGGGGTTGAGGTCCAAGGTAAGGAGCCAGGCCTTGAACCTGCCCAGACAGGCTAGAGCTAAGGCCAGAGGGCCCTTGGGCCCTAGAAGAGAAGACATGCATGCGTAGGGGACATGGACATTGGAGTTGGTGGCAGATGTCAGGGGATTGGAGATGGGATCCTTGGTTACAAGTGTAGAAGCAAAAGGCAGAGGTCCCCTGTCATTTCTAGTAAGCTGTCATGGTTAGGGGAAGGAGCCCGTCAGGTTCCTCTGACCCAGAACAGAGGCCCCCTATAACTTCCACAGATTACTTCCTGGTTATGCACAGGGTCCCTGCCACCTCATAGGAAGGGAGATAATGGGACAGTCAGGACAGCCCTGACTGCGGCCCTGTGTCCCAAATTTGCCTCACTCCTGCTAGCTGGCACCGACTTGATTCCACGGGACCATCTGCTGAACATTCTCTGGTGCCATGGCTGGCTGCCAGCCCCCAGCGCCAGCCCGTCTGGCCTTGCCCTCCAGTTGGCGCCTGTCCGCCCCCTCCCCACTTCCCAGACTGCCACACCCCAGGGTGGCCTGGCACCTCCTCTCCCACCCTTCAGCCTAAACCACCTTCCTTGCCTCAGGATTTTTGCCAGGATGGGGCACAGACTCAAATTCAGAGAGTCTGCAGGTGAGGGGCTCGAGTACTCCATATCTGGGGCTTTTGCTAGTTTCAGACATTTTTCGTCAGCTTGGGAAAGCCCTGTCTGACCCACCTTCCCTCTGCCTAGGGCTAGGCAGCAAGGGCAAGCTGCCCTCTGACACACAAATACCACCAGCTGCTTCATCCGCAGGAGGCACTGAGAACACACAGGCCAGGGAGAAGCTCCCTAAAATAAACCCCGGGGCAACCCCCTCACCAGCTGCATGGCTTTCCAGAGCCTTGTGAGTCTCAAGTTTGTGGTGGCAGTAGCAGCAGGACAGGGCATGGAGGGAGAGAGGAAGGAGGACAATTCCCAGCTTCAGCTTTGGGTACTGGGGCTGTGGGAAAGCAAAAAGCAAAGCTTCAGCCTTCCCACCCCCAAGGAAAACACTTGGAAAACCCTTTTTTCTTGGAAACAGTAATTTCTCCTCACCTGATCTTTCCCATCCTATCAGCCTCCCCCCGGGAGGGAGGGGGTGCGCAACAACCCGCCAGGGGCAGCAACCACTCTGAAAGTCCTTCCTCCAGCACAAGAAAGGAGCAAGTGTCCCCGGGCTGCAGTGGATAACCAGGCCTTCCCACGATGGCATCTGGCCCAGACCAAAGCCTGTCCACCAGGACTCGTGGATGCCAGTGCTGTCACTGCAGAAGGCCGGATGCCAGGTGCCTGAGACAGGGACAGGTGCCCTGGGAGGACATGTACAGCAACTGTAAATAACCCTCTTCCCCACCCAGGAGCCCAGACTGGACTCCAGTCTCTCTTCCTGGAGACAGAGGCTTCCTAAAACCACCAAACATCCTGAGCAGGTTGGCTGCCTGCGAGTGGCATAGGAGCCTTCCATGCAGACTGTCTTTGTTCAGAGGACTCCAGGGGACCATTTTGCCTAAGGCTCCCAGCAAAATTTTTATTTATTTTATTTATTTATCTATTTGTTTATTTATTTATTTATGTGATGATAGCTTTCTTTCACCATTAGCAGTATTTATTTATTTATTCATTTATTTATATGGAAAGGAATTTTTGTGTGTATGTGTGTGTTTGGGGAGGTGGGAGAACTTGTAAATTATTTTTATGCATTTCTTTTTTTTTCTTACGTCTCTATGGATATGATTTGAGAGGCCAAATGTGAATGGGGATGCTGTTATTTTCTGGAACATTTTAAGTCTGGAACACTCTAGAGTTGGCCCAGAAGCACATGAGTCCCCAGGTTTATTACTCAGCGTAGTGTTGAGAGATTCAGGCCCCGTGCCCCAGGCCCTGCCCACCAGCTATCTCACTGAGGTATCAGCAGGGAAAGAGCTCAGGAGCTGAGGCACTGAACCGACGTAATAGGGTTACAGCTTACATTGGGGGCTGGAGTCTAAAATTAGCATTTAAGATAAAGCAGTACAAAATTGAGGGCTCTTATGAAAGTCCTTTTGGGAGGCACCTGGGATGAAGTTAGGAAAGAAAATAAAATGGAACATGTAGCTATCTCCCCAAGAAAGTCCTTTCTGAGCCCATCCTGGGGAACTAGGATCCGCAAAGCTTTATCAATCCAGGCTCTCTGACAACCTGCAATATCTTCTGGCTTCTGGCTGGCAAGGGTTCTTGCCCTTTCCAAAGTCACCAAACACAGCCTTGCAACTGTCAGCTTTTCTGGCCCAGCTTTGAATTTGGTGAAACTTTTGCGACAGACATCCTGGTTGTTTTCCTGCCAATGTGGCTACCTGCCTTAACTCAAGCAAGGGAGCACCCGTATCCCGGGGAAAGTTTGCAAGAAGTTGCTTAGATGCCTCCCAGGGGGACATTCTCTCCCCACCCCCTGATATATTTCTCTGATTTCTTTTATACTTCTTTTTATTTCATCCAAAAATACAATTTTTGATGAGTAACTTTAGTTGAGCTAACTTTAGTTAGCTAAAATCATCATTCCCTAGTATTGCTATTATGATACCCACTTCACTCTCACTATCTTTTGCTCCCAGCAAATAAGACAAACCACTAGAAGGACTTGGCTCAAAAACCAGCATCCAAGATGGGAGAGGATGCAGGTTAAGATCAAACAACATATCAACCAAGCCCTTTGACCTTCTTGCCATGGGTGTGCAGTAAATGAGTGAAAGTGGACAAATTGATCCCTTTCCCTGGGCCGAAGTTCCCACATCTTTGAAGGGTGGAAGTTTTTGAGAAGTAATCCCAAATATTGACCTGAGGCCTGGAAGACCCACCAAAGACAGTACGTTTCATGGAGACTCAGAGGAAAAAAGAAAAGAGCTTCAGAGATTTTTTAGGAGGTTTTCAATCATGAGAATAAAAACTAAAAGCAAGATGTGAATCCCCTTCAGTTAATTAGAAAAAGCTAATTAACTTTAAAGCCCTCAGCATAGAACCATTCCAGTTCAATGAAGTTTGAGCACATTCCTGTCTCTATTTGTTTCCTTCTTTGAAGGAAACTCAGTATTTCAGAAGCAGAATAAAATGAAGATGTTGGGAAGACAGAAGGGTCTTAGCTTTCGAGTGCCTCCATTACTTCATTTGCTCAGATCACGTGCTCTTTCCCTAAATGTTTTGCTTGAAGAGGTCAAAATTTAGGATTCTGCCAAAGTTTTCACAAAGCATTTTTCCTCCTTCTCAAGCCCAATTTCCATCTTTCCTTCTGCTGTATTCTTTCCACTTCTTGTTCCCCACAAATATTCAGAAATAGTCTCATGTGTGCACATCTTGCTTTCCTTCCCCCTCCAATTGAATAGAAATTTTGATCTGATTAAACAACATCAAAAACAGAATTCCTTCAAGCATGCCCCCTCCCCAACTGGCTAACTTAATCCAGCTGAAAAACTTAAGCCAGATAGAAAGTCACTGAGCATTTTTTTAATTGAAACTTATCCTTTCTTATTTCTACACCAAATGAACCAATGAATTACATGGTAGTCTGCTTCTCTCTGTCTGTGGCATGTTTTGTTCATTTGTATGTTTGGTTTATTTATTTATTTTTAGTTTTGTTTTGTTCTTGTTTTTGTTTTTTGGTAGTTGTTGCTTTGCATTGTAAATACCATGATGGGGAACCCTCATCAAAACATGGCTTATTTAATAATTTATTTCCTATTTATTGAGTGGTATTGGGAAAGGAGAAGGGACCACTTCCTCCCCTGAATTGCTATTGGAAATCAGTCCATCTCTCAGATCCGATGCAGCTGTCAGCAGCAGGGCATTATCACCCAGGTAATGAGTGCTAGAATCACCGAATAAATTGGAATTGGCAGAAACAGAGGCTTCCGTCATACAAATTAAGCCCAAATGGAACTAAAACACTGGTTATCTCCAAGAAAACCTCATTTAGATGGAAATTAATTGAAGAATCAAATGCCTGTGCACGAACCAACTTCTATTAAAAAGTCACCACTCCTTGAAAGAAAAAAAAAAAGAACGAAAATTGTAACTCTGCTTCTCCAGCCAAGAGAAGCTATGCCTCACCTTGTAATGAGCTGAACCTGAGACTGAAATGACATTCCTTTGTGACTTTCTTGCCTATGTGGCTGTGGGGATGAAATGGATTGGGTCTCGGGCCTCAGTCTTAACATCTATAAAGTGGGGCTTAGGCTAAATGTTGTGGGCCGAGTGGGATGGGGGACTTTCCCTCTGCCGCTGTAGACTCCGTACTGTTGGATAGTGTCTTCTGCTGTAGGTTGAAGAGCGTCCGGTAATGAAAGAATCAAAAAGGTAGGACATGGACATCATTTGCTGAGAGAGGATACAAGAGCTGTGTCTTGCAGTCAGATCTGGAAGACTTCGAGGTGCCGTGCATTTTGAAAACTCTTTGTAGCCCGGGTTAATGTCTTCTGTAGTTACCCTGAAAATATCTCCAAGCTCACTGATCCTGAGTCGTCACGGGAAAGACCAACCTGGCCTTGTCCGGCCCTGGATTTGACTACTACTGTTTATGATTAGGCTATATTTTGTACAGTCATTCCAATAAGCCAGTGATATAGGTACTATGACCACATTTCAGATGGGAAAACTGAGGCCTAGAAGGGAACCATCATGCTCAAACTCCCTTAAACTCAGATCGGCCTGACTCTGTGCCCTCCCTACACTCCCTTGGTAACTCTTTCTTCAGGGGCCTATGCTGTGAAGACTTTTTCTGCACTGTATCTCTTCTCCCCCCTCTCTCTTAGCTGTTCCCTCAAGTGGTAATTGGCCTGGGAGCTAGCAGAATCCACCACACTGGCCCAGGTCTTAGTGTACCTCAAGGCCATTTCTCTATAGATAGGACTGGTACTACCATTTGGAAATTCCCAAGCCAGAGGACCCATCACCAGCCCAGCTCAGCCTGATGAGCCAGTCTCTGCCTGAAGCATCCACATCAGAAAGAAAGGAACTGCTGTGTCCTCCAGCATCCTAGGACCTTGTTCTCTGCCCAGCGACACAGTGGCCATGGCTTACTTGATTTCTGGTTTCCACAGCTAAGCATAACCTTCCCGGGGTTTCCGGGTTTCAGCCTGTATGAAACAAGTCTCTGTTCTAATTAAAGGTCCCATGGTATGAAGTTCTCATAACTGGCCCAGTGTCCTCTGTCTACATTGGGTGCCTCAAGGAGGGAGGAGGGAGGCTGGGAGCTAGGGAGCTTCACACAGTGCCTGCTGCATGTCATATATGCTTACAGTGCTCTCAGCTCCTGTAATCTTCCAAACATACCAGACAGTATTGGAGTTTCATGTACACATTAGCAGCATCTATGAAATGCCTTAGGAGACCTTTCCAGAAGTATTTTATATGAATTATCTTAGCTATAACTGTACCGCAATCATATGAGGTAGATGTTGCCATCTTAATACCAAGAAGGAAACCGAGGTCTGGAAAAGTAAAGTCAAATGCTCAAGAGCCAGTCTCCAGAATCAATGACAGAAGCCAGACAGGCTGACTCCAAGCCCTAGGATGCCAACTACTATGTTCAGCAGCCCTTTACTTTGTGCAATAAGTAACTGGCCTTCTTTAGTAGAATTGTTTCCTCTGGAGACCTTGATCGTGGGGAGCAAGTTCAGTGTCAAGCACAGATTTTTAGTTCAAAGACTTAGGTTCAAGTCTGGGCCCTGCCACTACTAGCTGTGTGGCATTGAACAAAGGCTACACCCCGTGGGTGTCTGCTCATCTATAAAATGGGGTAGCAACAGCTACCTCCCCAGGCTGTTTTGGAAACTAAATGAGATGGTAGATTTTTAAAAAGTGGTGCTCAGAAAGCTTTTAATGAGTGCTTGTGAACAAAATTACTATTTTCTAAACTGAACCTCAGCTGTGGCAGTGAATTTCATGTAGACAGCCCAAGCAGCCAAGTTGGAAAAATGGGGGCCTCCAGAAATGTTGTCAGTGCAGAATTAGAAACATGACTTTCCCTCAAGGTCAGGGGTTGAAAACAGCCAGGAGGCAGGCAGGTGAGGGGAGTGGACGAGGTTAGACGGTGGGGAAACAGGGAGCCCAATATCCACAGGCCAGGTGAAAATCTCGGCTCAATGTTGCAATATCTCCAATTTTTCAGCACAACCCGATTTTAAGATAAAATTTCTTGATTTTTAAAAAATGTTCATAACTCCTCATTTTTCCAAGCACTGTATGGGTAAAAACAATTGTGTGTGTGTGTGTGTGTGTGTGTGTGTGTGTGTGTGTGTGTGTACAGGAATGATATGCCATCCTAGGGGCTACTCAGGAGGAAATGTCTCACTGTCACCTCCAACCCCAGGGACACCAGGAGGTTCTTCCGCTGCCCACTACACCGCCTTCTCCACAGCTGAGTTGGTTATCAATTTAGGGAGGAATATTACACAAAACAAGTTGCAACATTGCTAGGCATGTGTCCTGCCCAGATAGAAAGGGACCTTGGGGTTCAATGGAACGAGATAACTTCCTTTGGATAAATCCATAGCTATCCTCTGCCCCGACCCTAACTCTCACACATTGATTTCTTTCTTTCGAAACAGTCTTTGAGTAAAGCAGTAACCAAAATCTTATTCTGAGGCTTCATCAATAAATAACAGTAATTAATATTTATTACCAATAATAAATAATTAATTTTAATGGATCAATTATCGTGTGCCATTTGCACCCCAAAACTTATTTCGTTTACATAGTACTACTCAGCTCTATTTGACAGAGGACCAAGTTGAGGTTCTAGGCACAAGGCCGCACTGCTAGCGGGTATTTAGATCTGGGCCTGTGGCTCCCCAGGCCATTTCTGTTACACCTCTTTATCCTCGAGGCTGTGAGCCTCTTCAACTCAGAGCTGACCAGACAATTTTTACCAGAAAGTATGGCTCCCAGGAGGCTGTCCCTGTGACTGACATCAGCTTCCTCTCAGTAATTTGTGGAGAGATCTCTCTTTACCTTTCTATCTCCTGCTCTGGCTCTCAGTTACAGGAATCCAAGAATTTGTTTTTCCAGTGATTGCCCTGAATAGATGCTCCACCCTCTCCAAGCCCTAGCTGTCCTGGCTGCAGAGGAGAGAGACCTTCTTCCAGAGAGCTTTCTCTCCCAGGCCAGACTAGCAGCTACCCAACCACATAGAAGACGTGGTCATGCATCCAATATGCAAGGGACACATTCACCCTTTCCACTGGGTGATAGAAAGGGGACAGAAGGGTAGGAGAAACTGCATCAGAAAGCAAAACTTCCCAAAAGGCAGGGCTGAGACTCCTATCTTCCTGCATGACCCTAAGCAAATGCTACTCTACCTGTTAAAAGGGGTTGAATTAAGCCAGAGGCTCTTCACCCTAGCTGTGCATCAATACCACCTGTGAACTTTGCACGATTACCCATGCTTGAGTCTCATTGTTCAGATCAGAGACATCCTGGAGGGTGGCTGCCAGTTGTCAGTGTTTCTGAAAGGCCTCCCAAGGCATTCCAATATGAAGCCAGGCTGGAGAAGCACTAGATGATACTTAACATGCTGTCCAGCCCTGATATCCTACAGTGCACTACAAGCTGTTGACAGTAAGGCCAGCAACACCCAGCACTTATGTAGGACCAATGTGTGTCAGGGATGCTTCCATAGGCTTCACACATAGTAACATAAATTACTTACGTATTCCTCTTTGCAGCATCTTTATGAGACAGATGCTATTTTAATGGCGATTTTACAGATGCAGAAACTGGGGCACCAACAGGCTTCCCTGGATCACACAGCTGTGTGCTGGGATCAGGGTGACTCCAAGAGCATCTAAAATAATCTTCAAGGGTCAAGAAAGGCGTCACGGGAAAACCTGACCTTTAGGCAGATGCTGGGTAATAAGTAGGAATTAGCCAAGCAAAGAAAGGGTCTTAGGGAAGAAGTGGAGGGGAGAGAACCTCAGGAGGGGCAACTGTGTATGAGCAAGGCCCATGCAGTGAAGCCCCTGGCTGAAGTTGGTTCCCCATCCCTCACCCTATGTGATCCTTCCACAGCTCTTAGTATTACCTGTAATTAGTTTATTTATTTGTTTAGTGCCCATCTCCATGAGGACAACAGCCTTCTCTGTCTTGTTCATCCCGTATGCCAAGCAGGGAGTGCCTTGGCTGGCACATGGCCACTGTCAAGCGATTACATCGGCCCAAGATTCCCAGCTCCATTCTTTTCCAAGACCCATTCATTTGTGAGCCAGGCAACTTTTAGTTTATCTGAGGGGGTCAGCATGGAAAGTGTAGCTCATAGGACTGTGGCAGGGCAATGCCATGTCCCACACAAATACACTAAGGATCTCTCATGCACACACCCTGGGAAGGGGAGAAGGTAATATAGAAGGTAACATAGAAGGTTGACATAAACACCTCCTCTTCATCCAGCCTTGGGTAAGGCACTAAGGACATACCCTGGGATTAGTGGATGGTGCCATTTTTAAATGGAGTGGCAGAAGCAGACTTGGGAGTCAGGCATACCTGGATATGAGCCCAACTCTTCTACTTTCTAGCTGTATGGCTATGTGTATGTGACTTCGCCTCTCTGAGACTCAGGTTCTTTACTTTCCAATGGGGAAAATAAAAGCATCCATTTCAAAAGAGTAGAGGTGATTCTCATAAGATATTTAGCAAAGTGTCTGACTGAGTTAGTAGCATTGTCACTGATACTAAAAACAAGAAGAAAGAAACAGAAGGAACAGGAAGAGGAGTAGGAGGGAGAGGAAGGGGAGGAGGAGGAGAAAGCTCAGGTTTCTGGGAGGATTCCAGATCACATTGGCAAAAAGTTCAGACAATCTCTTCTCACCTTTCATCACTAAATTCTTCCCCATGCCTGCCCCCACACTGACATGACATCAACATTTTCCACCCAAGTTGTTCTAGCATCAGTACCTCAGTGGGAAGACAAGGAGCACTGTTCATGCCCGTGCACCCAGGGTGGGATTACATGTCTGAGCATCACTCCCCAGAATACCATCCTTCACCATTAGCTGTGGCCAACCTGCAGCTGATGATTCATAGCAATTTTTCTTTTTGTCTTATTTTTCCCTTTGTCTTGAAAACTTGCCAAATACTTTCTCAAGGTGCAAAACTGGGTCCCTTTGACAATCAACTCTCAAATCTAAACCCAAAATAAATAACAGCAACCACATCAAGTAGTCACATTGCCAAAGGGAAACAGGCTTGTAATTCAAACACACACACACACACACACACACACACACACAGAGTTTGTCTTTCTCCTTCAGTCTCCCTTCCCTCAAACTTTAATCTAGATTAAGGTATCGTAACCTAAGGCACTCCATAATCTCTCATACTTGAGTTTTGTAGAGTCTATAAGTCATTTGAAATCCCAAGCAAAGTTTTCTATATGAAAACATCAGCATTTCAGTACAGAGGCATCCATATTTCCTAACAGTTTCCCAACAGAATTTAATTTTAAGAAATCTTTAGGATGCTCTTGCAAAATCTATCTTCACTCTTTCAGGATAAGACTGAGTTTTTATTGCCTCCCCAAAACCATTCTTCTTTCATCTATGGTAATAAAATCCTTCAATCTTTAACTAAGTTTAGAACTACTAGGATAAAGACTTTATTTTCCAGCCTCCTGTATAGTTAGCTCTCCGCATGTGACTAATTTCAACCAATGAGATGTAGGTAGAAGTTTTATAAGGTAGCTTCCAGTAATTTCTATAAAAAACATTCGTCCTGTGCTCTTTTTTCTCCATTCTTTTCTTTTGGCTGTTTGAAAGATAGATGTGATGGCCAGAAGTTGAATGTTAACCTGGCTCATGTGGTGGCACTGGAAATGGTGCTGATACAGATGGAGCAATATTCATGAAGGGGTGTCAGTCCCAGAGGATTTTGTGGGACAGGGACATTAGCCCAGCAATGGCCCGAATGCCTCTGAAATTCCACATTTAGGAAAAAATAAACTTTTGTTTCAGCTACTATTATTTTGAAGGTCTGTTGTGCACAGATAAGGCTTATTCTAATTCATATTCAGAGCAAAGCTAAAACAGTTGCCCAAAGGAGAGTGCTTATTCATATCTCTCCATCTCCATCTCTGGTATTCTCCCCAGCTCTTCTAGACTTCCTCTCCTATGCACAAACCCTGAGAACCTTCTTAAACTGA